GCGGGGACCTCAGAAGGCGCATGCGGCTGGGCTGCTGTGTTCTGGCTTCTGTTTTTGTTGGTGACTGGGGGAAACCTACCGTGCCGGGCCTCTGGAGGCCTCTGGGGACCTTCAGAGACCCTAGAGGCATCCAGAGCCATCTGGCGAATCCGGACATCTGGTGGCTCGAAACATTTGGACGGCGGTCTCTGAGTGAGTTGGGGCGGCTGGTTTCGGAGCCCAGGCCCGTCGAAGATGACTCAAGGTGCAAAGCTGGCCCTAGGGACAGGGTCGTAGCAAGCAGGTCGAGCCGCTGGATGTGCCCTCAGTTCTCGGCGTCGTGAAGGAACCTCTACGGACATTTTCGCAGCGTTTCTGGCCCAGGGGCCCTCGCGGATCGATCGGGGCCGACAAGTCCAGCGCACAGATATGGGTCGGGAGCTCTGGTAGTGTTTTCTGGTTTTCTCTGTACATTTTTAGATTCCCCCCATGCCCGAAGCCTCCTCAGGCTTGCCAGAGGGGTTCTTGATTTGTTGTGTACGAAGGGGCGCTGGCTGGACTCACTTGTCAGGGTGATGTCTCGTGGCTTCAGCGCCGTTTCCTCGCGCAGGCGTTGCCTTGGTGTGCTGCACAATGGTACGTTCTGCTACAGTCTGCTGCGCAGTGGCATGCCGTGCTGTATGTATTGTGCTGTGTAGCGTTGGGCGAAGCATTGCAATGCGATGCAAGGATTTGCTGTGGCATGCCAAGCTGTGCCGTGCCAGTGTGCCGATCTGTGCGGCCAGGCTGTCCAATACGGCGCTGTATTACGCACTGGAATGTTGCGTGGTGCAATGCTATGTCGTACCATGCTATGTTGTGCCATGCAATGCTATGCATGCAACGCCATGCTATGATCTGCGAGGACCTGCTGTGCTACACTATTATGTGCCATGGTATGCAACGACATGTTACGCTATGTCGTGATATCATATTTAGTGCTTTGCTAAGCTATGCACAGCTGCGGAAAGCCAAGCTATGCATGTGATGCCATGCCCTGCTTTGCACTTCCTGTGCAGTGTGATGCCGTGCACCGCTGTGTAAATTTCATGTCCCTTAACGCGTTGGGCGGTGTCGCGTTGCGATTTGCCATGCTGTGATTGAAGAGGCTTGCGCTATTCCGCCGACCCCCAGAAGAGAATATGTGCGGCTTCCGATTTCGTGTATGGTGTTCTGCAACTTTTCGTCGTGCTTCTTGCTTGTAGTTGTTGCTGATTCGTCCTCGTCTTCGTCCACCCCTGTTACGGGGCTGTTTTGGGGCCGCTTGGAGGCCTATGGGGATCGCCTCTGGGAGTTTTTTCAAGGCTTCTGGGGGCTTGTTGGGACCCTCTCCGGGCTTCTTAGGACCCTTATGGGCTCATATCGGGGGTCTGGGGGGCCATTTTGTGGGGGATGACTCCCTGGGTCCCTGCGTGTTCCCTCTCCTGGGCCTCTCTTGGGCCCCATTTGGGGCCTCATGAGGGTTTTCTTGGCCTTCTTGGGGGCCTCTTTAGGCCGTCTTGGGGCCCTCTTGGACCGTCTCTGAGTTTTATTTCGGAGGCCTGAGTCTTATTTATTCCCAGAAGGTCATGATCATGACCTTTTCCAAGATTTTCAGGTTTTCCAAGCTGCAGACACGAAGGCCGCTGGATACCCTGGAAATCCTGAAACGTATCCTGAGCCAATCCTATCATGACATAATTCTCGTCCTACTATTGGAGGCCTCTTGGGCCGTCGTGGACCAGTCTGAGGTACTTCTCGTGCCGTGTTGGGCTTGCAGACGCCCGAAAAGGCGATAACGCGACAGTGATTTTCAAATTGAAAGGAAATTAATGGGTTTTACCTCTTGAGGCCCTCTTGGGAGTCCTCTGTGGGCTCTTTTTTAGGGCGTCTCAGGTCGTCTAGAGGCTATATTGAATGTTCTTGAGGTCTTCCCGGCGCGTCGGGTCCCTCTGGGGCCATCTTAAACAGCATTTGGTGTATTTTGGCCGCCACGGTGGCTTGATTTGGAAGCTCCGAGAGCCCGGGAGGAGCGCCAGTGAGTTCCCAGACACCCGCCCACCTCCCCCCTCTCTTTCACGGGATTGTGGACTTTGGGGATGGGGGGAGGGAATACAGCCAATTGTCTCACACGCCTTGGCACCCTTGGCAAACAGGGGTCGGTGGATTTGCATGGCGGTGATTCCTTCTGCACTGCACTTCATCTCTCGAACAGAAGACAACATAGACATACGCTTTCGGAGGGCCGCGCGGATATCTCGGATCGGCGCTGGACCCTCCCCCCAGGCGCGCGGAGCGCGCCAGGGTTGGCGCCGGAGGCGCCGCCAGGGGGGTCCATCGCAGATCCAAGAAATCCGTCCAAACACCTCTGGAAGTTTCTGCATATTCATTTGCTTCAGGGCTGGACCTAAACGCTGTTTTGCTGGACTTCGGCTGTGTTTTGTTTTTCGCTTTGGCAGGGAGGTACAGGAGAACAGGCAGAGCAGAAATAACAGCAAAACGAAAACAAAACGAAAAACAACGCTTAGGTCCAGCCCTGTTCATTTGCTTCTGATTCTCGCCTCGCTGCATCGCACGTGCAATGTGCAGGTGGTTACCCCCAGCCAGGGCCTCGCCATGGCCTCCTCTCGCGACGTCGGGCCTCGGCGTGCGCAGGCCGGTGCAAAAGATTCCCCCCCTCGCACTGGCCAGGGCGATTCCCGCGGGTCTCCGCGGGGGCCTCTGGGAGCCTCCAGAGGCGCCCCGGGGGCGCGGAGGACCAGAGAGCGGGGTCGTCAGGAATGAAAATTCAGGCGATCGCAAACATGAACATGGATCAAGGGGGCGTGGATTAGCGACGGGTCGCGCTTCCTTGGGAAATCGCGGACTTCCGCCGCCGAACGAGGCGGCACCGGCCGCATTTCGGGGAGGGCACCTCCCCCGGTCCATGGATTTGGCGACCGCGCGCCAAATCCATGGATCGCTAATCCATGCTTGCGCGCCCCCGAAAAACGAGGCGTCCGCGTCATTGCTTGGACTTTTGGTGGGTTTCGAGGGTCTGCGTCGCGCGAACGTTCGCAACACGAGGCTGGCCTCGCGGACGGGGGGGCCGTATGCAGGTGCGCGCCCGGGCGCGTACGTTTTCTGGTGGGTTTCCCTGTTGTGCGGTGGAGAAAGGATCGCCCGATGTTTGACAGGCTGGCGCAGCGTGGATCGGAGATGCCCCGTTAGGCACGTGAGGCCCGGTACAACGTGACGGGCGTGGAGCTGTGCCGGCTGGGGCCGGGTAGCCTGGGGTTTGCATTTCCAGATGGTGCGTTCCAAAAAGGGCTTTGCCTTCGAGGATAGAAGGAGCTGTCATCTCTTCCTCGGCGGAAGGCTGCGGAAGGTCGGCGGAAGTAAAACGGCGGCGGCTCCGCCGGCGGAATCTCGGCGGAAGGCGGCGGAAGTAAAACGCGCGCCCTCAATAGATGAAAACGCTTTTGGGTTCAGGATTTCAGGAATCGGCCAAATCGATGTTTTTTGAGGTTGAACGGGGTGGCGGTTCGAAGACGGCGAACCGCGTGGAGCTTCTTCGCAACACAAATCGAGCCAGGTTCGAAAGTCCGTTCGACACGTCAGAAGTCTGTTCGAAATGATGTAACAGAGAGCGTGTCGTGCGGGACCTTCTCGACACGATAAAGGTGGCTCGAAGTGGGTTCGAACTGGCTCGAAGCAATATCACACTGTGTTTTTCGTTCGGGACTTCCCCGACTAGATGACATGGATGTTGGTTCGGAGTCGGTTCGAAGCCAAATGAAAGCGAGCGTTTCATGCGGGGTTTTCTCGAGAGGATGACTTGGGACCCGGCTCGCCAAACAACAGGAGAGCAAGCGCTTCATGCAGCATCCCCTCGAACACATGATTTGGAATTTGCTTCCGCACGCAGTCGAAAGCCCGAGAAACAAGAGCATCGCAATTGCAAGACTGGGCCCCCCAATATTATCACTCCAGGCCTCCCAGATGGGGTCGGAGTAGATGGGGTCGGAGGAACGCGCCGCATCGCCGATGTATCGCCGATGCGGCTCGATGTAGGGCCCGATTTGCTTCACGTCGACGGCGCCGATGCATCGCCCACGTCGACGATGCGTCGCCGGTGCATCGCCAGTGCATCGCCAATGCATCGCCGATTTATCGGCGATGCGGCGAGATCCTCCGACCCCATCTACTCGGACCAAATCTACCATGCTTCTAACCACGCCAAAGTATATGCACGGAGGGCGTCCGAGGTCCCAGAGCCACGAGATCCCTCGATGCCTCGGCCGATCGATCGGCGCTGTAGCCCATCCCCTCCCCCGCCTGGCTCCTCCGAGATCGCTCCTTCGGCACCGGCCAGCGCCCCGATCGATCGGCCCGATCGATCGGCCCGATCGGCTGTTGGGTTAAGTCGGGCCTGTCCCTCGACAGGAGGAGTATTCAGAAGCAGTCAAACAATGGCCGGGGGACGATTTTTTTTAAGTATGTTTTGACTATCTTCGAGCATTCTTGGACCATCTCTCATGTTCCGTCCCAAATCCGCCTGCAGGAGGACGTGCCCGACCTAACTCTTGGGTCGATCGGCGGCGGCGGCCGCAGGCGCCGGCCGCTAGCAGACCGCCCCGGGCCGGGGCGACGGGTGGCCGGCCCGCCCGAGGGGCGCCGCAGGGGGGCGCTGTGGCTCGGGATCGGGAGGGGGAGGCGGAGGAGGGGGAGAGGGGGAGGGGGAGGAGGGGGGGGAGGAGGAGGAGGAGGGGGAGGGGGAGGAGGGGGAGGAGGGGGAGGAGGAGGTTGGCCAGAGTAAACCCAAGACGCATCCACGCTTTGTCAGTAAGCCCTTCCTCCAAGTTCCCTGTGCATAAGGGCTCTTCAGTAATCTATTTTCGATCCGGGAAATGCCCCTTTGGAAGACAGCCGTCTGAGAATCCTCAATCGCGCCAAAACGCAATTCCTGGGACCTCAGCGCCGCGAATCATTATGATTGTTGTGTCCAGACAATTTCAACAAAT